AGACCTAGAAAACAAGTAGAACAAGATTTATGTTGCAAACGAATGATTCTATTTGATGGATAATTATTGATACCTCAGATCTTTAGTTCGTATCTTGTTATTTTCTAGCATGTGGCATGGTATTATAACCATAAACTTTAAGCATGCCATAAATTTAAAGACACCTAAGGGATGCTAGTCCAGCATGTTATAATTTCTTTGTTGTGTTTTGTTTCTTCAGGCTGTTGATTGGAACTCCAGTGGTGATACTGCAAGGAAACTTGTAGTTATGACATCTCACCTTCTAAGTGATGCACATCGGTATATATTACGATGCCTAAGCACGCATCAAGCTGTTCGTGTTTGTTCAATATTTACTTCCATCTCAGAGGTTCTTTTTCTTCTCTCTCTCTCCCACCTTCCTTTTCTTCTTTTCATGGAATTGATGTACTACCAATATCTAAAATCCTGGACTGCATAGACAAGATCTGGGAGGACAAGAAGAATATAAAAAGTTCTATTGTTGTTCCATGACTAACAAGTCAAGTTCCGTTTATTTTATTTATGCTCATTTGCAAGTTTTACATATTCTCTTGTTTTCGTGCAGTAAATCGCTTTGCATTTTTGAGCTATTTGCATTGAAAACCCTTCTGTAACTAATACACATGTTGCACCAAACAACGATCAACCACAAAGTTTGCTGTTATGAAATTCTTTTGCTATTATGAGTCTCTACTGTTGCCTCTATTTACAAATGTTCTCTTTTTTATTTGATGGGTCAGGTAATGAATTGCTTAATCTGATCTCTTTGTTCCTACTGCTTTGTCAACCCTTTGGTGTCACTTGCTATAGAGATCCAGTTCCCTCTGTAAGTCATATTTAGGTGCCTCCCTTTTTTTTTTTGACATAATGAATCAAGTAGAAGCTGGTCAAGGGGTTCTGAATAGTGTCAGTTGTGTGCCAAGCCTCCCTCTGTTTGGATGACTAATCTATAAAATTTGTTATAATGCTTCAAATTATCATAGCATTATTGAGGGTTTAACAAACCTTCTCTCCTATCTTGTGCACATAGTGATTACTTGTAGTTGAATCAGCTATAATGTTTTACAAAATATTTCAGGTAGCTCACTCAGCATATCCTGATTCACCTCTGGGCCCAGACGCTTTTCATGAATATGAATTCTTGCTTTTGCAAGATTATGATGAACTTGTCAAGAAAAGTGAGGTAAAATCAGAAGATGAAGGATGGTCACAACTCGTATGCAGTGAAGATGACATCCTGCAACTTGAAACTAGCAGGAAAGATATATTTGAAGATAAACAAATAAGTCATGTGGAAGACGTATTGCAAAGATTGGTAGTTTCTGTGCATCATTTCCCTATGATTTTGTGCCCCTTTTCACCTAAATTCTTTGTCTTACCTTCAGAGGGATCAGTAGCTGAAGCATACTTATCTATTAAACATGAGGATTCCCTTAGTTCTGGGTTGCCTCCTCTTAGTACGGGGTTGACCTCTGATGGTGATGATTTCCCTCCTGGGGCATCTCTTACAGCACATTTTCTTTACCATTTGGCTGCCAAGGTATGAAGTGCTGCACTGCATTTTCCAGATTCTGCTGGCTTTGTCTTAACAATTGACAATGCTAAATTAAATACTGTGGAAGCTGACACAATGAAAGTCCTTGTGGTCATGTTATCTATCATTTCAAAGTTCTGTTGATTTCAATATGCCGCTTTCTTATCAAATAATTAATATATAATAAAATATTTTATTCTTATTTATAAAAATAAAATCCTAAAAATTTATATTTTAAGATGCATAGTTGATCCAGAACCCAGAAAAACACCAACTCACACACGGTTAAACTAATATCCAACAAATACTGCATTTATATTTATAAAAATATAGAACTGTATTATTTTTTTAATTATTTTTAAGATTTTGGAAGTAAGTATAATTTTTAATGGGTTATATTAAGTTTTATTAAATAATTAACTACAGTTAATTATATTCGTAAGTCATATAATATGCCCAAAAATGATCACTTGTAGAATATTGATGCTGTAGAGATGAGGCTATTTTAATTTTTGAGGTACTGTTTGGTATGACCTTTTTACTCAGAAAGTAGGAACTCAAAAATGAGAACAATAACCTTTATAGAGAATGGAAAAACAAGAAGACCACTATCTACAACTGTATTGAACAAAGAAAAAGCTTTTCAGGAACGAGAAGCAAAAGTTAATCTTTTTTTTTGCTTTTTTCAATTTTTGGTGTTCCATAGAAAAACCTTTGCTGCTTATTTTCCGAGAGCCAAACTTGAGTTATAAGTTGTTTTATTAACAAGTCATAGATCAAAACTGTAAAAGAAGTCAGATGGCAACTGACTTGTCTCCCATTATTCTTACATTTATAGACAGATAATAATTTTGGGAGAGAAAATTTTAAATAGTAGATGCAGAGAGCTGATTGTAAAGAATGGTACCTCTGGGTCATTTCTAACATATTGTTCTAGAGGTATAAGAATTGGAATCTTGGAACTCTATGTTTTTCACTATTGTTCATTTGAACACATTTCGCAGTATGATGGGGCTGCCAAATACTGGTTAACAGCGAGGTTAAGGGGCTTATGATAAAATTATTCAAAAGTGGAAACAAGTAAATGAAGTCCTGTTACCTTTTTTTTTTAATTTTCATTTCTTGCATTTTTTTTAAAAAATATTATGCTGATGTTTATATCTCTCTACAGAACATGACCATGATATCTTTTTCAAAAAAAAAAATGTAGATGGACTTGAAATTGGAAATATTTTCCCTTGGTGATTTGTCGAAGAATGTTGGGAAAATTCTGATGGACATGTCAAGCCTCTATGATGTAGGCCGTCGTAAACGATCAGCAGGATTATTACTCATTGATCGCACTCTTGATCTTCTTACTCCATGCTGTCATGGTGACTCTCTTGTTGATCGTATGTTCTCAGCTTTACCCCGAAGGCAAAGAACATTAGCTTATACGAACTTGAGAGGCTCGCAAGCACAACTCGAGCATGGCCCTTCTTGCCTAAATCATCCTTCTCTTGATGTTCAAATACCACTTGGGAAAATTCTAAGCGAAGAAGACTGCAAAATTGATAGTTCTTGGCTTTCAGAAAGCATTCAATCTTTTCTCTATGGCTGGGATTCTTCTAATGTTGCTCCTCCAACTCTAAATTTGAGTCATCTTAGGAGCAACTTCTACTGAATGTCTCCTATCTGGTTTGAGCTACTAAGAGGGTCCCTTTGTTAACAGAGAGTTTTCATGGTACACCGTATATAGAAGCTATACTTGATAGAGATCAAAGATGGGGCTGTGCTGTGAAGAAATGGCCTCAGGGAAGCTCTACGTCGTGAAAATATAACTGTTATATGAAA